CTACTAAGCTCCACCAGCAACCTGGACTGCCTCCGCATTCCACATAGAGACTACCTGCAGTTTTATACATGTATTTTTGTACTCTTTTCTACGTGCACACATATTTGAAATCCAAAAAGTTGTCTTGACACTTTCCATGTTATTCATCGCTTGTTCTGTAGTTTGTATAAATGTATTGAGAATGTGACATCCAGCAATTGAATTTTGGTCACAACTGTATGGAAGTTGAATAATATGGGTCAGTTTTGTTTTGTTATAGTTGTAGGTACATACTTAATGTAATGACTTTTAGCCTTGCTCAACTGATTTCAGTGAAATGTACATGTTGTACTTATTTTAAATAACCATTAATACAAATAAAATGGTATACTCTCTTTTTTTATGTGTGTGGAGCATGGATAGTATGTCCCAGAAAATTGTCTTTCCCAATATAATAGTTGGCACCCAATTTCTCCCCAATCAAAATACCTGTCTTCTATCGGACTTTCACAGGAACGTGCTCTTTTACTTTACAGGACAGATAACGCCTTGATTAGTCTGGAATTAGGGTTGCTAATACTCTCAAATTACCCATTGAGCAGCCAGCAAAAACTATAGCCCTGGTAAGAGTGTAAGGATTTTTAATGTCTAAAGTACATTTCAGGAAATGGATCCAATTCTTTCGTAAGTCTTTTGGGGTAAAATTGCATCCCCAAATGTATACTATTAAGCACGTTTCTTTGGCTACTAGGAGCAATTATGTTAATTTCTCAAATTTTGGTGAAAAACATTCAATACCGAAATGCAACAGTTCACATCAGCTTGGGTAACCTGTGTAAGAGTTTTTGACATGTAAATGAAACCATTTAAAGGCTTAGAACAGATACCCGTTCCTTTTCATCTGGGAGGCAGATGTATTTAAGAACCCAGAATTTTTCAAAAATTTAAAAATACACTTTAACATCCATAAAGAAAATACAATTTTTGTAGCAAATATATAAAGATTATATTAAATACATGATAGCTTCACCTCTGTTCAGGGCATTGAGTTTGTAACTAAAAAAGGTGTACTTAGAGATTTTCCTTCTAAGTTTTGGTACCAATTACAGTTGGATTCAGTGAGTATCCAGAGGAGGGATGACAGTTTTGTATCACATTATTTATTAAACAGTTTATTTAAAATAAAAATCTATAAGGAAGCAGAAAGCAACTTCCATTAGCTATGTGGGATTTTGAAAGTTCTGGAAATTGGTCTATATAAAAGACTATTTACAATAATATCAGAAGGCTACAAAAATAGGACAGTAGGCAGCAGGTAGAAGATAAAGTCCTGAGAATAATAGTTTAATAGTCATTAAGACAACTTTGATAAAGAAACAAAACATTAGCATGGAGATTTCATGAAGGGAATTCTGAGTGATTGGTGGCTGACAATTTTCAGATGAACCGATGTAGAATTTTCAAAGAACTCAACAAGAATACATGATTTTACAACTGGCCTTATTTGGTATAAACTAGTTTCTTGTTCCAGCGAAAGCCAGCATACATGATTTGCAACAGCAGTTAACCTACAATAGATATTTCTGTTCTAAAATGTATTAAAATACAAATTTTTCTAAGAACTTCATGGAATCCTGAGAACCACCTGTCCTAGTCTCAATTCCTAGCTCATTTTTAGAGGTTACAACCCCCCAAAAGTTGTATGGCATTGCAAGGACTATGAACTCTCTAATGGTCTCTTGATGATTGTTTTGACATTGATTGTCTCATCTTGATCAGGCTATTGTCAGTTTTAGGATATGAGAGGATATTGCTAAATGGCCCACGGGCTCAGCTGATTCTGTGTCTCACCCATGGCTTCTGCTCCCCAATGAACATCTGCACACAGGTTGACCCATTACCTGATGGGGGCTAGCCTCCCCCTTGCCCCTTCCCAATGAAGGCTCCACCGCAGGAGAACACTGAAATGAACAGAGAGGTATGCCTAAGCATCTTCAGTCAGAAGACCAAAAACATCTCAGGAAATAAAAAGCTATTAATAACTAACTATATTCTATTATTCTATTTTAGGTACATTGTTGTTTAAAGGGCTCTTGTAACTTTTTTCCTCTGGAAATTAGCCGTTTATAACTTTTTTTTTTCTTCATGTGGAACTCTCTGAATTCCAACTAATCAATCCAACTACTTTTTTTTTTCTTAAAAAAAATCAAATCAGATTGGAGTCTGCTCAGTTAAAGCATTTCTCTGAAATCTGAGGTCTCGCAGTAAAATAAATACATCTCAAACAGTGAAAACACTTACATGTCTAAGACAATTAAAATGCTCTCTTAAAATCCAAAATGTTTCATAAAAACATTTGATTCTGAATTAAATACTTTAATTCCCTAAACTCTGTCTAAGTCAAACCCTATCCTCTCTTACAAATGCATCTGTGAACATACCATCAAGGTCATCACATTGGCTTTTTCAGACCAGTAACATATTCATGTGAAGGGAAA